TATCAATTGGCTAATATGTATAAACGTCCAGGCTTTGAAAATAATCTTCGACATTGGGTAAATAGATTGAATATTAACAATCTATTATGTAATATTTATAATGGTAATACTTGGAGAACTTTCAAAAATGAACCATTCAATGAAGATTCAGCTCTATTTTTTTGTAGCAAAAAAGCAGATTCTTATTTGGGTCTTGTGTTGAATCTTGACTGGTTTCAACCATTTAATGGTATATCACATAGCACTGGTGTGATGTATGTATCTATTGCAAATTTGCTATGCGATATTCGATTTAAGTATGAAAATATGTTAATTTTAGGCATATTACCTGGGCCAGATGAAGTGAGTTTGCATAAAATTAACCATTATCTCTCCCTGGTTGTTGATGAATTAGAGTCTCTTTGGCATGGTATAGAATTAGATTCAACTGCCGAGAGTTCTGAAGAAAAAGTTATCCATGCAGCATTAATATTAGTTTCATATGACATTCCGGCTGCTTGAAAGTTGTGTGGGTATATTTCAGCATTAGTGTTATGTCATTGCTGTGAAAAAAAATGCTAATTATGTAGGTAGACAATTTAACTTCGGTGGTATGCAAAATATGAATGAGTGGTTTGTACAGAAAGATTTGGCGGTACATCGGCAAAGTGCACTTAAGTGAAGACGTTGTAATTCTGATGCAGAAAGAAAGTGTTTTGTTAAAAGATATAAAGTTCGATAGTCTGAATTACTTCGTCTAAATTATTTTGATCCAATTCATCATGTAATTGTTAACTCAATGCATTGCATTTTCCTGGGTATTTCTAAGTAGCTTGCTAAATGAATATGGACTGATGAAGGTGTATTAACGTCGAATATACTTATGAAAGTATAGCACATGATGAATAAGTTCCAAGTACTATCAGATATCAGCAGAATTCCGGGTAAAGTGAATTGTGGAGAGGGGTTCTCAAATTTTACCACCAATCAGTGGCAAAATTTTTTTACTATTTATGCTACTATTGTTCTTTGGGAACATCTTTCGAGTGAAGATCGGCAAATTTTAACAAATTTTGTTAAAATTTGCCAAATATTAGTATGCCGAATTATGAGGTGAGACCTTATGAATGAGGCTCATAAAAGGTTAAAATTAATAGAAAGTAAATACGGGGCTGGAAAAATTACACCAAATCTTCATCTTTCATTATATTTATGTGAATGCGCACAGGATTATGGACCATTATACTCTTTTTGGTGTTTTTCATTCGAAAGAATGAATGAAATTTTAGAGTCTTTGCCAAATAGTCATTGAAAAATAAAGTCTGAACTTATGCGAAGACTAATGACTAATAACCAAATTATCAGTTTGGCTACCTCCATATCTGAAATTAAGGGTGTAGAGTTACTGGAAAATCGATCTTTCATCGGGTCTTTTTTAGAAACTGATAATTTTTCTTCTAATGAACTGCGTCAATTTTTATTGAATACATATAATGTTCAAGAATCAAGTATTACTGGTTTTGAACGATTTCTTGGTGAGTTCTTACCACTACAAAAAGAACATTTAATAATTTCAGACGAATTATTAAGTTTGCTGATAGAATATTATACAGCAGCTTATGTGACAATGAACTTTAGAAAACCTTTCACTGATGATTTTAAAGGTTCTGTCATTGTTCTAAATAGGGCAGACAAATATGGAAGATGCTGAATAGGTTCCAAAATATTTGGTTCTGACATGTCTTCTCACCATGTAAAAAGTTCATTTGTTTTGGCTCGGTTCATGAATCATGACAGAAGTGTTGATTTGTACCCCAGACAAGTCCAGTATTTTTTTAATCATGTTATGAATCTACCAAACGGACTTGTAGAACATAAATTGGCATATGTTAGGTAGTACAAACCTGTAAATTCAGCTGCAACTCGTTTCTATTTTAGCACTGATAAAACTTGTAATGTTGAACTTTTGGACCCTGAATTCTATCCAATTCAGCATGAGTGCATTATTTCTGTTCATAATATTTTTAGTCGGTTTATACCATACAAGTATAAAATTTCAAATCGGCAAAATTCTCATGAATATTTGGCTATAAATAGAAAATTTAATATTTAAACCGACATCTGATATGTATGTATATATATAAGAAAAATTATTAAGTTTTAATACATAATATTTGTTGTATGATTTACTTTTTACTATATATATAATGTATATTATTCTTATGTATAGAGTTTGGAACCAGATTTTATTTTTAAATCCAGTTTTACATTAATTAATTATTTTCTGCTTTGCATTTAAATCCGAATTATTAAGTTGAAATCTGAATTTATTTCAACAATTACATTCAAAAAAACAACATTCAGTGATAAAACATTCGACTACTTAAGGACAATTACATTTAAAAAAAATAACATTTTAAATCTGGGTTTATATTAATAATTATTTTCTGCTTTGCATTTAAATTCAAATTATTAAGTTGAAATCCGAATTTATTCCAACAATTATATTCAAAAAAATAATAATTAATTATTTTCTGCTTCACATTTAAATCCAAATTATTAAGTTAAAATCTGAATTTATTCCAACAATTACATTCAAAAAAATAAAATTCAGTGATAAAACATTCGACTACTTAAGGACAATTACATTTAAAAAAAATAATATTCAGTGATAAAACATTTGACTACTTAAGGATATGTAAAAACTATTTTAGGTGGTCAAATACTTTTCCAAACTCTA